ATATCCTTTGCCCACTTTTGAATGGGCTTGTTTTTTTCTTGTAAATCTGTTTTAATTCTTCTCTCTTTTCTTTTTTATTTATCTGGCTAGTGGTCTGTCTATTTTGCTTTTTGAAAAACCAGCTCCTGGATTTATGGATTTTTTGAAGGGTGTTTTTGGGTCTCTATCTCCTTCAGTTCTGCTCTGATCTTAGTTATTTCTTGTCTTCTGCTAGATTTTGAGGTTTTTTGATCTTGTTCCTCTAGCTCTTTCCATTTTGACCATAGGGTGTTGATTTTAGATCTTTCCTTGCCTCTCATGTGGGCATTTATTGCTATATATTTTCCTGTAGACACTGCTTTAAATGTGTCCCAGAGATTCTGGTACATTGTGTCTTCGTTCTCATTGGTTTTGAAGAACATCTTTATTTCTGCCTTCATTTCATTGTTTATCCAGTCAACATTCAAGAGCCAGTTGTTCCGTTTCCGTGAAGCTGTGCAGTTCTGTGTTAGTTTTTGAATTCTGAGTTCTAACTTGATTGCACTGTGGTCTGAGAGACTGTTATGATTTCCATTCTTTTGCATTTGCTGAGGAGTGATTTACTTCCAATTATGCGGTCAATTTTAGAGTAGGTGTGATGTGGTGCTGAGAAGAATGTATATTCTGTAGATTTGGGGTGTAGAATTCTGTAACTGTCTATTAGGTTTGCTTAGTCCAGGTCTGAGTTCTAGTCCTGCATATCCTTGTTAATTTTCTGTCTTGTTGATATGACTAATATTGACAATGAAGTATTAAAGTCTCCCACTATTATTGTGTGGGATTCTAAGTCTCTTTGTAAGTCATTAAGAACTTGCCTTATGTATCTGGGTGTTCCTGTATTGGGTGCGTATATATTTAGGATCGTTAGCTCTTCTTGTTCCATTGATCCTTTTACCATTATGTAATGTCCTTCTTTGTCTCTTTTGATCTTTGTTAGTTTAAAGTCTATTTTATCAGAGATGAGAATTGCAACTCCTGGTTTTTTTTTTTTTTTTGCTCTCCATTTGCTTGGTAAATCTTCCTCCATCCCTTTATTATGAGCCTTTGTGTATCCTTGCATGTGAGATGTGTTTCCTCAATGCAGCACACTGATGAGTTTTGGCTTTTTATCCAATTTGTCAGTCTGTGTCTTTTGATTGGGGCATTTAGCCTAATTTACATTTAGGGTTAATATTGTTATATATGAATTTGATCCTGCCGTTTTGATGCTAGCTGGCTGTTTTGCCCATTAGTTGATGCAGTTTTTTCATTGTGTTGATGCTCTTTACCATTTCATATGTTTTTGGAGTGGCTGGTACTGGTTGTTCCTTTCTATGTTTAGTGCCTTTTTCAGGAGCTCCTGTAAAGCAGGCCTGGTGGTGATGAAATCTCTGAGTACTTGCTTGTTTGCAAAGGATTTTATTTTTCCTTCACTTATGAAGCTTAGTTTGGCTGGATATGAAATTCTGGGTGAAAGTTCTTTTCTTTAAGGACGTTGAATATTGGTCCCCACTCTTTTCTGGCTTGTAGAGTTTCTGCTGAGAATTCTGCTGTGAATCTGAGGTGCTTCCCTTTGTGGATAACCCGACCTTTCTTTCTGGCTGCTCTTAGCATTTTCTCCTTCATTTCAACTCTGGTGAATCTGACGATTATGTGCCTTAGGGTTGCTCTTCTTGAGGAATATCTTTGTGGTGTTCTGTGTATTTCCTGGACTTGAATATTGGCCTGCCTTGCTAGGTTGGGGAAGTTTTCCTGGATAATATCCTGAAGAGTATTTTCCAGCTTGGATTCATTCTCTCCGTCATATTCAGGTACACCTATCAAATGTAGATTAGGTCTTTTCACATAGTCCCATATTTCTCGGCTACTTTGTTCATTTCTTTTTACCCTTTTTTTCTCTAACCTTGCCTTCTCATTTTATTTTATTGAGTTGATCTTCGACCTCTGATATCCTTTCTTCTGCTTGTGAACAGTGGTCATTTTTGGTGGTGGCGTTTAGGGTAGGTTCCCTTCTCTCCCCACTTTAAAAAATCCTTTCTGTAATTCTAAAAGTTTTCCACTGCAAACATGAAGTGTATGGCTTTGTAAATGTTGACCTACATATATTCCTGTGAAGCCACCATTACAGTGAAGATGATGAGTATATCCATTACCCTCATATAGCTAAATCTGTTTATTAAGTCATTGACAAATTTAAAAGGTATCTTTTGACTAAATCTTATTTTGAACGTCTGATTTTAACTTGCCAATTTTCTTTTTATTACTTGTTCTTATTAATTCTGGTTCAAGATTCAAAGCAAAATATCATAGTGAAATTGCTCACTCTTTAGAAAAGTTGGCATTTTCAGACAGTTGTCCAATTTGTAGTTTTTGAGACAATACTACAGAGAGATGTTTCAAGTTTTTCTTTTTTAGAATAGTTATTTTAATATATTATTAAGTTGCTAAGTTAATGCTAATAAAAGACCTTTAAATTTTTTTTTTTTTTAAACAAAAAGCGTAGAAAGAGTCAGAAAATAACACGACACACTGGGAGAAAATATTTGTGGCATTTAAAACTAACACGGGGCCAGGTGTGGTGGCTCAGGCCTGTAATCTCAGCACTTTTGGAAGGAAAGGCAGGAGGATCACTTGAGCCCAGGAGTTCAAGACCAGCTGAGCAACGTAGTGGGACCCCATTTCTACAAAAAATTTTAAAATTAGTTGGGTGTAGTGGTGTGCACCTATACTTCCAGCTACTCGGGAGGTTGAGTAGGAGAATCACTTGAGCCTAGGAGTTTGAGGCTGCAGTGAGCCATGATTGCACAACTGTACTCTAACCTGGGTAACACAGTGAGTCTGCTCTGTCTCATAAACAAACAAACAAAACCAACAAGGAATTTGAATTAGATATACAAAGAATTTAGAATCAACAGGGCCAGAAAAGCAATAGAAAAACTGCAAAGGATATAAGCAAGCAGTTCACACCAAGATGACCCACATATAGACATAAGTCAATCTCACTAATAATTAGAGACACAGATAAAACTAATGAGCCACAACCTGACATCAATATGGCAAAACTTATTATAAAGGTATATCATTCCAAACTGGAGGTGGAAATAGGGAAACAGGAATGTTTAGCTCTACCGGAAGGAGTATAAACTGTGCTTGTGAGATTTGTTTATGTCTTATGATTCTACTTCTGGGTAACAATCCCAAAGAAATTCTTGTGTAAATTCTATAAGGGGAAATTCTATAAGGGGACATATTCAAGCATACTCACTGTGGCATTTCTCTGCCAGGGAGTCAGAGACACTGTCCACTCTGCCTTCTAGTGTGCATTCCTCTATTGCTATTACGTAGGCTGGCAAGCTAAAAACTACCTTTTCCAGATACTCTGCAGCTAAGGTTCAGCCAATCACATGCATTCTTGTGAGACTGGGAAGGCAGAAGTAAGGTGATCTGCCACTTCTTCCTTTCTGCTGGCAAGCATTGTTATGGACCGGTTTGATTTTACTGTAATAGTGTTAGCAGAGGTTACAATGACAAGGCACTGACAGATGTTAATAGGTAGAGCGTTGGACATCCGTTTTTGCTGGGGTGGATGATAGAGGTGTAGTGTGTTTCTGGAACAGCAGCTGCTTCCTGATCTGGGCAGTCTCAGGATAATCGTCAAGGCAGCTACTGCTATTAGAAGAGAGAATTGCTCCCTCAGGGACTTTGAGTCTTTCCTAGATTCTGTTTCCTTCAGCATTCTCTATAATTCTGTAATGCATCCCTATCTGTTTAGAATTGATTTTCTTTGCATTTAAACTAGAGTTTGATTGATTCCATCAGAATGCAAGAAATGTGTGAATATTCTTCTATTCTACATTTTGCAAAGTTTATTTGCCACTAAAGTTCCATCTCAATTGTTCGTTCTATCAGGCAGATCTACTGTCTCCTCTGTATCTCACAGTATTTTGCATTTGTATTGCAATTACTTGCTTCACTGTCTTTCTCATTAGAACATGAACTCTTTGAGGCCAGAGATGGAATCTTATTCATTTTTGTAATCTCAGCTTTTAACGTTACAGCCGCTTTCCTCCCAACTAAGAACCTTTGCATATGCTGTACCACCTGCCTGAGAGACTCTACTTTTCACCTGATTAACTCTTACTCATGTTTCTTATTCAGCTGGATCATCTTGAGATTGATTTATGCCGTTCAGTATAGTAGCCACTAGCCATATGTGACTATTTACATTTGATTAATTTAAATTTAAAATTTAAAATCATTCAAATTGACCAAGGGATTGAAAATAAAAATGAGTGAATAAAAATCAGTCATCAGTCACACTACCCACATTTTACGTAAATGACCATGTGGCTACCGTATCAAACAGCAAGAATGCAGAACATTTCTATCATCACAGAAAGTTCTGTTGGACAGCACTGATCTAAATACATTAGGGCTCTGTGTTTGACATTCCTGCAATATTTTGTGCTGTGCTTACATAGCACTTGTCGAACTTAATGATGTATTAATATTATCTGTCTTCCCCATTAAATCGTAGGCCGCATGAAGACAGAAACCATGTCTGTTTTGTTTGACATTGTATGCCAGTGCCTAAGACAGTACATGACAAATAATAAACACTAAATAGATATTTGTTAAATGACAAATAAATGAGCAAAATTTTCTTCTAATAGATATAAGCTTTCTATTTCTTGCAATTTTGAGTCCAGACTAGAACTATGATTAGTGGGCTTTTATGAAGGGGCAAATACTTTTGCAAGTTTCAGACCACTTTTGCCCCCTTTTTTGCTCAGCATTTTATTTCTTTTCCTGAAATCAAGAGGACAACAGTATTTAGCTAGTGAAGATTTGGGAGCCCAGAACCCAGTACTTTGGTAAACTAAAAGGATGATGTTAAAAGTATCCAAAAGTGAAACACATTTAAAAAAAAATACTTTGTATTGTTCTAACTATTCATGGTCAATGTAAACGTCTGGGTGTAAGTCATGACCAAAAAGATACTTGCAATGAGTGAGAAATAAATCATTTATTTAGACTTATGATCATTAAATTTTGGTTTTACATTTTAAGGTTAAAGAGAAGTTTAAAAGTGCAATTTTATTCTTTTATAAATTATGCAACAACATACTTTAAAAAGAATAAGCAACAGAAAAGTTTAAAAGAGCTATTAAATGAATAAAAGTAGAATCAAAATAATCAATTTAAATTGCAGCTATCATGGCTAGTGATGGATAACATGTAGTTTGACGTGTCAGAAATATTGGCACTTGGAAATCTTAATAGAGCTTTGAAAAACTAGCAGCATGGAGTACTGTTGACCTACACTGTCTAGTGCAGAACTCTGACCATATCTGTTTTCCTTTTCATTGGGATTTAGCTTTAGTTAATACATCCACATCAGCTTTGTCTGCCTCTCCAAGACTTTTTTCATGACTCTCAACCAGGACATTGTCTTCCTTTCTTCGGGGCCTTTGAGAACCAGCATCTCTGGGAACTAGAGGAGTTCCAAGGGCAACAAAATTGTGCACATCCTGCAGCTTCTTACGCAGCCATTCTACTCTCTCCATCGAGTTCAGATGTTTTCCCAGGTTGTGCATAAGTTGTATTTCACTCACGGATCTCTTCCTGGGAAGAAGAGAAACAGAAGGGGCCATTTCCGATTAGCTCCCCGCTTCTAAATGATAAAACCAACATTAAAATCCAATTCCCAGGCAAAACAGTACTTACTTAACAGATTTCCCATCCGATTTTGTAAGAAAACAAATTGCCAACATGACAATCATTACTTTAGCCATGTCTTTTGCAGGAAACATCTTCACTAAAAAGAAAAGCAAAATGGAGGTATTTAAAAATGTTTTTAATATTTCAAACTATAATAATATAATAGTAACTAATTGGGTTGGTTTTCACAAGAAGCTTTTGGAATCAACCTCTTTATTTTACGGATACATTAGTATACCTAATATATTTACACATAATTTGACTTAGAAATTAGTTTTATGCTCCTAAGTATCTTTTGGAGATTTCTTGTGCAAGTTTTAATATACAAATCTTAAGCCACAAGAGGAATGAAAGAGCTATTTTTGAGACTTCCCCCCTGCACTGCATTTTCTGTTGATTATTCCTCAGTGCTTATAATTTGCTTGAAAATGGCTAATTTTCATAATAGGATAAACTATTAACACTGTTTATTTACTTAGCAAATCCTTTTCTTAAGTAAACTTCATTTCAGGCATTGTAATAATAACCATAAATACCAAACTAATAGGTGCTGATTTAGAGATTTTCACTAAATTAATGCATATTTCTCCTAGCGTTAAAAATAATGTGTCAAAGTATTTAAAAATCATCTAATTAATTATTTGTGATGTGGATTTCGAGCTTCATCTCTAAATGGAATCCTTGTTTGTATCTTATTTCTTCAACTTATTTTATTAAATTATCTTTTAATATAACTTTTTTCTCTTTCCTTGTTTCACATCAGTATAGGATATTCTTGTTTCAATCTGCATTTCAGTACTTGCAAAGGCTGTTAATATAGAAGTGCCTTCATGCTCAGTATGCTGCCTTTTAACATGCACATAGAGTAATTATGTACTCCTGTTTTACAGGGAATTTGTATCATTTAAAAGTAGCATAGGAAATATAATCTGCTACATTTTTGTTTACAATATAAAGCTATTGATGGAGCAACAGATGAAAATTTTATTTTTTGGTTATGTTAAAAACAAGCACTGTAGCTAGAGGACAGGAGCACTGGAGTCTAATCTTAGCTTTTTCACATTTACCTAGTGACCTCAGGCATATCTGCTTTGCTTCCTTAGGGAAATGGGCTTTTTATGAGAATATCATGGAAAAAAAGCTGAAAAATTGTTGCAGAACACCCTTAAAATTCATGTAATACAATTTCATGAAATTAAAGAAATATAGTTTTCAGAATAGATCTGTCATTTATGTAAAGGGAATAAATATTCACTAGTCAAACTGAGCTTATCTAACTTTAGTATACAGATTGGGCTCTTTATGAGCCATGAAATAAATAAGAATCCAAATAAGAATACTCTGCAGGAAAATAGAATATTAACTCCACTTAATACATTTATAGTGATTATTTAAATCAGAACTATTCAATCACCATCAGCCTGTTTCATTTCAAAATTTTTATACCGATATTATATTAAAGCATAGCATGACAAATTTTAATGATTTTTTGCTGTAATTTCAGATAAATTTTTAAAAAGCAAGGTATCTCAAGAGACTTTAATCACAAAGTATTTTGGGATTTGAGAGTATTTTAGTAGCATTAATTTATTTTGTCTGTGGCATTTTATATTAAACATAACTCAATCTTCTTAGCATTTTACCTTGAAGAAGCAACATGGTATTTGTAGAAATGGTACTCATTAAATAACTTGATTATCAAAAATCTCCTGATATTCAGAAGTGAATTTTTAAGATTACTTACCATGCAGTGTCTTAGAACAAGATCTTCTTTCAGGTATCTTTCAGGTATATTAGTAGTGATGTTGAGTAAACTAAAGAAAACTGATGAACTGGACTGCAGACCCTTAGATGTAACTTTTATATATAGGTCTTCTGCTTACCAAGAGAGGCTCTTTTATTGTTACAGGTGATGTCACTCCCAATTCACTGGATCTCAACTATAGGTTCAGAGCATCCCAATGTGCACACCCATTGGGCGGTGCATACTTTTCTTAAGTTTCGGATAATTGGATACCAAAAGGGAAACAGCATTTGACCTGAAAAGGGGCTTATGCAAAGACTTTCAATAAATACAGAATTATACCACCTAGAAAAATTCTACCTGGATTGATAAATCTGAATTTATACTGTAAAAAAAACTGATTTCAAAGGTTTATGATAAACCTATTATCTTACTTGAAAGTAAAATCCAAAAATAAGTATATTTTTTATAACTGTACTGTTGGTACAATTTTAGTCATAACGTTATGCTTATTTTACAAGCCATTTTCAACCAATTCACATCACTTCTGGTCATCTTTCAACAAAACAGAAATAGCCCTTTTCTTAATGAAAGTATTAAAAACAATTTGAGAAAATGCTCTTAGCCCATAATAACTTTAAAAGCTTCAAAGTTGAAATCATTTTAAAATGTATTTAACTTATATTTTATTTGTGCATTTTAATCTGTAATAATACCATTTGATAAGCACTAACTGCATGCCTTACATATATTATCCCACTAGATCTTCACAGCAGTCCTTTAAAGTTAGTACTTAAAGTACTAAAGTAGATTCTTATCCCCATTTTTCCATAAAATATAACATGAGAAATAGTTGAATAAAACTAGGTAAGTCTGAGGAAAAAAGACAGGATGACTTTATAGCTGCGTTTAATTATTTATAAGGCTACCATAAGGAAGAAGGAGTATTCTCTGTGGTTTAAGAAGGAAGTGCTGGGTTCATTGGGATAATTTGTACATTATAATTGTCAAAATAAGAAATCAAGTACCTTCTCAAATAGTGATTTCTCCATCACTGAAACTCTTCAAGTAGAAAGTAGATGAGGATTTATCAGATGTTCTATAGAGATTCATACGTAGGAGAAAGTTGAACTAGACAACCAAGAGGTCTCTTTTAACTGTTAAAGTCTGTTGTCTTGATCTTTCTAAAGATCTCTTCTGATGCAAAGTCTACATGTGATGTTTGTATGTCATTTTTCTGTAATACTCTGTTGAGAAGAAGAATTGGAAATACAAATGGTTTTTCTTTTTTCTGTGAGATAGGGCCTCACTCTATCCTATCACCCAGGCTGGAGTGGTACAGTGGCACAGACATGGCAGCCTCAACCTTCTGGGCTCAAGCAGTCCTCCCACCTCAGCCTCATGAGTATTTGGGACTATAGGTATGCAGCACCACACACAACTAATTTTTAAATTTTTTGCAGAGGTGGAGTCTAGCTAAATTGCCCAGGCTGTCCTGGGCTCAAACAGTCCTCTCACCTCAGCCTCCCAAAGTGCTGGGATTACAGGCGTGAGCCACCACACCCAGTCACAAATGGATTTTTATTTTTTAACTTTTATTTTAACTTCAGGGGTGCATGTACAGGCCTGTTATATGGTAAACTAGTGTTGTGGAGGTTTGTTGTACTAATTATATCATGACTCATGTATTAAGCCTAGTGCCCATTAGTTATTTTTCCTGATCCTGTCCCTCTTTCCAATCTCCATCTTCCAGTAAGCTCCAGTGTCTGTAGTTCCCTTCATTGTGTCCATTTTGTTCTCATCTTTTAGCTCCCAATTATAAGTGAGATTATGAGATATTTGATTTTCTGTTCCTATGTTAGTTTGCTAAGGAAAATGGCCTCTAGCTCCATCCATATTCCTGCAAAGTACATCATCTTGTTCTTTTTTATGGCTGCCTAGTATCCCATGGTATATATGCACCACATATTCTTTATCTAGTCTACCACTGATGGGCATTTAGGTTGATTTCATGTCTTTGCTATTGTGAATAGTGCTGCAATAAATATACGCATGCATATGTCTTTATATAGAATGTTGAGCTTTTTAAAATATGCTTATTGACCACATGTATATCTTCCTTTGAAAAACATCTGTTCGTGTCCTTTGGCCACTTTTTAATGGGGTTGTCTGTTTCTTGTAAATTTGTTTGAATTCCTTATAAATGCTGCATATTAGGACTTTGTGAGATGCATAGTTTGCAAAATTATTCTCCATTCTGTAGGTTGTCTGTTTACTCTGGTGATAGTTTCTTTTGCTGTGAAGAAGCCCTTTATTTTAATTAGATCCCATTTGTGAATTTTTGCTTTTGCTGCCATTGCTTTTTGTCATTTTCATCATGAAATCTTTGCCCATTCCTATCCCTACAATGGTATTGCCTATGTTGTCTTCCAGGGTTTTTATAGTTTCGAGTATTAATCTATCTTGAGTTAATTTTTGTTTATAGTGTAAGTGAGGGATCCAGTTTCAAACTTCTGCATCCACAAATGGTTTCATAAACATATTTCTTCATTGTTAATTGTAAAGCCATGCTTAATATTCTGACGTGGAGATTTCTCCCACTTCTTTGGGTAAATTCGATGTAATTGACAGCCTTCTAGGAGTGATATAATTATCACTTTCTTGTTCTTCCTCCTCTTACATTTATTTATAGAATAAATTGTCATACCAGGGCAACCACATTATTAAATTAGTTTTACAGAAAAATAAAGCTAACAGTTTAGATAATGGTCACTCATTCATTCACTATCTACTACCTGCCAGGCCATGTATTAATCATTGGATAATTGAGACATAATCAATGCCTTGAAATTTAACACATAATTATAATATAATATGATAGGTTTTATAATACAGGTGTGAACAAACACTTATAAAAGCACAGAAGTAGAAGTGACAGTTTCCCTAAAGTTGTTGGAAACTGTTTTACTGAAAAGTTGAACTATCGTGAAGGGTGATTGTGTTTTCCATCAGAGAAGGTAAGAAAGGACAGACGGAACTGCATGTGCACAGGCATGAAGGCAATGAAGACGAAATAGACACAGTGGCTCTTACCTGTAATCTCAGTGCTTTGGGAGGCCAAGGCAAGGTGATTGCTTGAGCTCAGGGGTTTGAGACCAGCCTGGGCAACATAGCAAGACTTCATCTCTCCTAAAAGTAAAAAAAAAAAAAAAAAAACAATCAGCAGTGTGTGATGGTGTGCACCTGTAGTCCCAAATACTCAGGAAGCTGAGGTGGGAGGATCACTTGAGCCTGGAAAATGGAGGCTGCAGTGAACTGTGATCATACCACTGTATTCCAGCCTGGGTGACAGAGTGAGACCCTGTCTCAAAAAAACAAAACAAAACAAAACAAAAAAAACCCAAAACTAAATATTGAGTATATGCTTGTGGATGGAGAGGGGAAAACGGGGAAATGGATGATGACTCTAAAGAAGTAAAATTTGGGTACAGTTTTGGAAGGTTATTGTGTGAATGCCAAGGAGTTTTGTCTTGTAGTTCTCTCTAAACTGTAAACGTGGCCATTAGTAATAATGTTGTGTCCTTCAGATTTTTCAAAGGACTACTTGATCTTTCCACAAAGCAGTAATATAGCTGCCAAGACTTGAAACATATTTTATCTGAACCATCAGGCTCTGGACCTGCAGGTATTAACTAGAAGAAAATCACTTAGGAGGACAAGTCTAGGGGCTATGTGGGCACAATAGACTGATGATAATGTGACAGAGAAGGGCTGAGCACAGCTTTTTGCTTTGAATAGGTCAGCCTTTCTTAACAATCTAAGTACTGAAGCTAGGGTCAAACAATCTGATGTATTCCTCACATTTGGGAAGGATAAAATGTTGTGTGTTGTGCCCTGTTCCCTAATGAAAGGTTTAAGTTAAGAAGGACACTTTTTCCTTCTGTTTGCTCAATAAGAATTAGTATGACTTTGGGGAGTTGGCATCAACAAGCTTCCAGGGCTTAAAAATCCAACTATATCTTTCTAATTCTATGTTTCATGAACAGATTGGATAGTTTCTACCTTTAAAAAAAAAACAGATTTATTGAGGTTCAGTTGATATACAAAGAACTATACATATTTAATGTGTACAGTTTGATGAGTTTATACATACATGTTATACCTGTGATACCATCACCACAATCAAGGTATTAGATATAGCCAGCACTTCCCAAAGTTTCTTTGTTTTTTGGAAGAACACAACATGATACCTACCCTCTTAAATTTTGAAGTTCACAACGTAGTATTATTAGCTTTAAACACTGCGTTGTATAGCAGATCTCTAGAACTTTTTCTGGATAGTGTCTGTATTAATAGTTGAGTCACTGTTTTGCTTCAAGCCCCTCTGTAGATGAGTTACTGAGCTCCTTTTTATTATTATTATTTATTTTTTTGAGACAAGGTCTTGCTCTGTCACCCAGGCTAGAGTGCAGTGGTGTGATCTCAGCTCACTGCAACCTCTGCCTCTGAGGCTTGAGTAATCCTCCTACTTCAGCAGCCTGACTAACTGGGACCACAGGCGTGCACCACCATGCCCAACTAATTTTTGTATTTTTATAGAGATGGGGTTTCACCACATTGCCCAGGCTGGTCTCCACCTCCTGGGTCAAGTGATCCATCCACCTTGGCCTCCCAAAGTGCTGGGATTACAGGCGTGAGCCAGTGCACTCAGCCAACCAAGCTCCTTTTGATCTGTCAGAAAAGAACTTTTCTCTCTGCTTCCTTTCACCAGCCCCTAAACTTGTTTGTAGTTAGAGACAATGAACAAAATTCTTAAAGTGACTTCACATATAATAAGTGATTAATATGCAAAGTATTTATGATAATATTCTGTTCCTTACTTTTCTTTCTCTAGATTATTTCATCGATGGACACCGTGATTGTGGTTCTTTAATAGGTAGCATTTAATAAGCCATTGATCTCTGTGCATTCATGTTAGAAACTCTGGGATCCATTATATCTGAATAGCCTTTTGAAGACAAAATGTGCAGCCATACTCACAAATACAATATTGTTTTTTGTGAGTTCTATCAGTGAAGATCCAACTCTGCATGAGTTTTCAGCTTTCTACATGTTTAT